TAAAGCAGGAGGAAGGGGGGATGTGTGAACATTTACCTCATCACCCTCTTTTCTCCGTCCAGTTGCCCGATTACGCTGTGGTGGATCCATGAAATCATCATCATCATTTTGATGATCGCCACGAGTCATTCTGCTGAGATAGGAACAGACCAAATTGTCATGGTGGAAATGTAAATGCAAGAGGTAAGCAGTTGCCACCTAACAGAAAATGTCAACTAGTGAATGCAGAAAAAAATAACATGAACACACACGCACCCCTCCTATGATTGTCGAAAACATAAACGTGGCAAGTAAGCACGTTGGTTGCATTATCAAGTAAAAAAATGTACATATGGTAAATGCACTTGAAAACAAAAAATGTTGAAGTTGCCATGTTAGCCTAAGATAGTACGATAGAAAGTCACAGAATCCTCCACACCACAAAAACTAAGATGTGGCAGCTCACACACTGTCCTAAAAATACACCAATCAAATGCCACTTGTTCGGCGGCAGAAATGTGCTAGGGTGAAATTGCCGTGCTGAAATGCAACACATACTACAACAAATCGATGAAACCACATCTAATCAAGAACCTGGAAATTGCCACAGTGTGATCAGATATCACAAAGTCGTTGTGGCAAAAAAAATTGTGCCTACAGTACAATGAATTTGCCATATTGTACTGACTGTGGCATGACAACAAACATGATGTGGTCAACCAAAAACTTGCCACATGCAAAGCATATGTATGGCATCTGACACAGTTGATATGCAAATTTGGTTGCCACATTATGCAGCCAATTTGCCACACTGTCTTATCTGTAGAATGGCAACAGACAGTGTGTTCACATTCTATTTGCCACATGAATATATTATCCAAGTGGCAACAGGCACACTTGATGTGCACATTAGTTGCCGTCCAGTGCAGTTGACTCCTGAAACTGCATTGACTACCGATTGTGGCAACTATCACAGTGTGGTAACTATCACAAATCATTCAGAAAAATTAGATGCCACAATGAAAAAAGCATGTTTGTGGCTACTATCACAGTAATTCAGCAAATTTAGTTGCCACATGGAAGAGCGTGTGTGTGACAACTATCACAGTCATTCAATAAAAATAGTTGTCCCATGCGAAAGCTTATATGTGGCAACTAACACAGTCATTTCAGTAATTTGTTACCGCAAGGGGAAACACGTTTATGGCAACTATCACATTTGTTCAGGGAGTTAGTTGCCACACAATCATGATAGTTAATGAAACTATCAAGTTCGCCTCATACTATAGTTTCAAAACCCAACTAACTAGATCTACGGTTCAATGGCAACTACCGCGACTTCAAATTCACCCTCAAAATTCTCCCACGAACTGTCTGCAGACACAAATTCGAACCAATGCGCATCAAAGAAACCGGGAGACACCTGCCCAATCCATAGGCAAGACTAGTGTGTGCCTCCGAACAGGGATAACCACAGCGACGATGCCGCCGCCGCGACGAAACTACCCAGTGCCACCAAAAACGGCTAGCAGACGACTTCGGCGCCGGCGGGAACGCCGACACATCGCCGAATTGCCTGAATCTCTACGAATCTCGATCGAGAAATCGAACAGGGAGGGAAGGGAGGAAAATGCAGGAAGGGATTGCGAGAGTTGTAGCGAGCATTACCTTCAACCCGCAGGCGCTCCGGCGAAGCCGCTCCGTTCCGGCGAGCACCACCAACGGCCGCGAACACCGTTGATTCTTCCGCCTCCGCCGTCGCCTTCTCCCCTCGCCTTCTCCTCCAATGGTTTGAAATGCGAGTGGGTTGTGCCAGTAACTGCGGTGCAGGTGAGTAAATGGAACTGTGAGGGAGAGGGGCAGAGGTGTGCGACGTGTTTGACGTCAGCCGCGGTCGGAGCGTGGCGTGTGGGCGCATAGCAGTTCCACCGCACGCCTCCGAGTGGCAACCGCTGACCGCGGGATGGCAACCAACGTGCGGGCGAACTGACTCGCACACCGCACACGCGCCTCGTCCTATGTGGCGTAAAAAAACCGGCCGGTTTGTTCCAAGATTCGTGCACAAAGTTGCCAACGGAGATGCTTGCGTGTGGTCGGGATGGTGAACGCCCACACGTGTGGGCGTTAACATTTCCGCTCTGTATATTAGAGTTGACCCAAGTCAAACTTCGTAAAGTCTGGCCAAGTTTATAATAAAAAATACAAACATTTACCATAACAAATCTATATGATGTAAAAGTACATTCAATAATGAATCTAATGATATTGATTTTTTTATTATATATGTTAATTTTTTTATCTACATACTTTGTCAAAGTTTATAAAGTTTGACTTTAACCAAAGCTAATACAGGGAATACATACACTCACCTCTTTTTTTGGAGGGGGGGGGGTCGATGTGCTTCCCTCTATAAACCTACCCATCTGAGCTACGCATCAGTTCGCACAATACCTTGAAGTTTGGGAGGCAAAGTTGTACTACTTCTTTTTAAGGTGAGAATTGCCTCCGTGTTTTCATTTACTAGGTCATACTACAACTCTAGGTCGTTAGATGCTAATACAGTAATGCACATTTCGTCGGCTCCTCTTCTAACAAAAAGCTAGGGTTCCTCTGCCTCCCTAGTGGCCCTAGGGACATGGGTCATAGTGGATCCTAGCCCTTGCCAGCAGGAGAGTTTTGTTTTTAGATGTTTTTTTTAGTTTTGTTAGGGTTTGTATCCTACTCAGGAAGGTGAGGCGTCGTCGATAGCTCCGTGAAGATGGAATAAGCTTCATCCCGCCTAACCTCGTTAATGTGGTGCGTCTAACATCGTCCGATGGCGTATGGAGGTGTGTCTTCGGCAGATCTCGCGAGATTATGTTGGTGGTTTTCTTTGGTGGATCTACTTGGATTTGGTATTCGTTCATCTACACTCATATGTCTTCGGGATAGATCCTTCCGATCTACGCGTCTCTTTGTCAGTGGCGGTTGCCGTTCTGGTGTGTTGGGCATATGAGGCCTTGGCACGGCGACTTTTCGACTGTCTATTACACCAAGTGTTGCCCGGCTCCGACGAGGGAGAGATGTTGATGACAGCACGCCTTTGCCTTGCTTTAGTGTTTGTAGTCGTCGCTACATGGTCTATGAATCTGGTTGTAATTTTTATTATTTCTGCTGTTCATTGTACTGCCATGATTGAAAAATGAATAGATTGGAAGTTTTTCCGACAAAAAAAGGTATGCATCCGTACATGCAGATCCAACGACTCATAGCCCCATACTTGTTCTACATACGACTTGCCATTCTATATTTATGGTTCTTCGTTTTGTCGCGGGTAAAATGCAGAGACATTTAAATTCATCTTTTTAGAGAAAATATAAATGAGTATGAAATCTTTGAAACAGCAATGAAAATAGGAAATCTCAAATACATTTAGAGGAAATATAAATGATATGAAATATTGAAAACAAAACAGATAACATCAAATATTTTCAAAGGCAATGTAAACGATTACGAAATACCGTAAACGAAAACAGAATATAAAACACCGCACATTTGTGGAGGAAACATAAATAAGTACAAAATATCAGAAACAAAAACAAAAACATCGCCGAATATTTATAGAGGAAACATAAGTGAGTATGAAAATATCGAAATTAAATGGAAAACATATAACACCGAATATTTTCAGATAAAAAGATAAATGGTACGAAAATATCAGTAAATGAAAACGTAAAACTATAATGTCAAAAATTTTAGAGGAACATGAATGAGTATGAAATGTTAGAAATAAAAATGGAAATCGATAACATCAAATATTTTTAGAGGAACGTAAATGAGTACGGAATTTTTTAGTGGGACATAACTGAGTACGAAATATTAGAAAGAAAACATAAAACGATAACGCCAAATATTTTTAGAGGAAGATAAATGAGTATGAAATATTAGAAACAAATACGGAAATCGATAACGTAAAATATTTTTAGAGGAACGTAAATGAGTATGAAATGTTAGAAACAAATAGGGAAATCGATAACGTCAAATACTTTTAGGGGGATGTAAATGAGTACGTGATATTAGAATAAAAAGAAATCGATAACGACGTATATTATTAGTGGAAACATAAATTAGTACGAAATATATGAAACAAAAACGGACACAAGTAACGCCGAAAGTAAATTTGGATCGAATTCAAAGTAGTACAGATATAGAAGCAAGTATTTGTAGGAGAAGGAAAAAACTTTTTTTTCGAAAAGGAGAAGAGAAAACTAAAAACGTGATGAAAAGAAAAACACGCCAAAACCAACAAACCAGGTTTTCTTTTTCGTGCGCCAGTATGGCTGAAAATGATCTCACACGAGGATCACATAGTCCAGTGGCTTTGAATTCTTTTCTGCTATGAATCAGTGTTGCATTGTTCACACGAAAGTTTTGTGTTCCCGCCTCCGTACCATTTTCATCCTACTTCTTGTGCATGAGTCCACACAAAATTACGTTGTGAATAATTAAAAAGTTGTAAAAAAAAAGCAGTGATTTTTTGTGAGAAAAAAACCGTGATTAAATCATGATTACAGAGAGGGAATTGGGCTCCAAAAAAGTGATTTAAGGGGTGCTTTGGTTTGACCGTGGGTTTTATGTGCCGATTGATTGGTCCAAAATGAGCACTTTACTATTTTGATGACCTGTGATGAATTAGCAATCAAAACAATCAATTAATCCATGCATGGATATGTATGGAGAAATGCATGGATATGTATGGACAATGGAGTAACGCAATAGTATAAAGCAGTGCCACGGGGAGCCCCTCCGTCCACTCCAGACTCCACCGGAGGCAGGCAGCTGGTGGTGTGGTGCTGGGGTGCCGGAACGGTCACTTTTCTCCCTCCGCCCCCCACCCAACAAAACTAATTCCACTCCACCAGGAAAATCCCCAGCCAAACCAAATCAAACCGAACCCGGCCTCCTCCCTGTCCCTAGTCCCCCCCGCCCGCCTGCGCCCCCCTTTCGAATCCGGAGGAGCTCGCCGGCCGGCGGATCGGCCGATGGCGGCGTTCGGCGGCAACGGGTACTGCTACTCGTCGGGTTCGGAGGACGAGGAGGAGGACGAGGAGGGGGCCGAGGGGTACCGGAAGGGCGGCTACCACGCCGCGCGCCCCGGGGACCGCTTCGCCGGCGGCAGGTTCGTCGCGCAGCGGAAGCTCGGCTGGGGCAACTTCTCCACCGTCTGGCTCGCCTACGACACCCTCCTCAGCGTACGCCCGCCCGCCCCCCCTCCCCTCATCTCGGTTCTGTTTCTTCTTCCTGCTCTGTTTTCTTCGCCCGCCCTTCTCGGCGTGCTCGCTCATGGCGCGGCCGTCGCCGTCGGGGGATTCCCATCGGCCGCTATTGGATTCCGCCAACTCCGGCGGGGGCCGTTCGCTGCAACCCAAAACGATGCGCTTTGCCCATTTTACCCATGTTCCATTGCTTTGGCTCTGTTCAAATTCGGGCCGGCAGAACTCTGCACCGATCTTTGTCTTCTTTTTTTTGCCAAATTCGTGATCTCTGTTACAGGTTTATTCTCTGATATGTGCAAACTGGGACCAAAACTAATATTTACCGTCCTCCATCGGTAATGGAACTCTGTATTTTACGGTTTGTGCAAGACATGTTATTAACTGGATACGGCCATTGCAAAACCTGCAGAGATTCGTGGCGCTCAAGATCCAGAAGAGCGCGAGGGACTACGCGCACGCCGCGCTCCACGAGATCGAGCTGCTGTCCGCGGCGGCCAAGGGCGACCCCACCAATTCCAAGTGCGTCATCCAGCTGCTGGACCATTTCAAGCACGCCGGCCCCAACGGCAAGCACATTTGCCTGGTCACCGAGTTCCTCGGCGACAGCCTGCTGCGGCTCATACGGTACAACCGGAATAAGGGCATCGGGCTGAGCAGGGTGAGGGAGATTTGCCGGTCGGTGCTGACCGGCCTCGATTACATGCACCGAGAGCTCGGCATTATCCACACCGATTTGAAGCCGGAGAATGTCCTCCTAGTGTCGACGATAAACCCGTCCAAGGACCCGGTGCGCTCGAGGCTCACCCCGATTCTCAAGAGGCCAGAGGGGAATCAGTACCGCACGCCACCCATCAGTTTCAGCGAGAAGATGCTTAAGACGCGGGCGAGGCGCGCCGTGGCGAAGATTCTGCAGAGGCGGGTGTCGCTCGGTGGGTTCACGGCAGACATGGTTAAGGAGAGAAGCCTGGATGGCATTAGTATGAAGTGCAAGATTGTCGATTTCGGGAATGCCTGCTGGGCTGATCAGCAGGGTGATGGTGTGATACAGACAAGGCAGTATAGGGCACCCGAGGTTATCATCGGTTCTGGGTATTCTTATTCTGCTGATATGTGGTCGTTCGCTTGTATGGCGTTTGAGCTTGCCACCGGTGACATGCTGTTTGCTCCCAACACTTGCCAAGGTTGCAGTGAAGATGAGGTAAAAAAAACATAATTTTCGTGTCGCTTCTTTCAGCACTTTTTTGCTTATACTAGTAGCATTAGCAATGATGGTTTTATCATATATTCTTGCTTACTAGTATATGGGTTTTCTAACATTAGTCAAAGTGTCAAAACTAGTCCATTTTCCTTATGCCGAGGCTGCGGACATCACCCTATTTTTGTGTATTCCTGCTGTTGTTATGTTGGTCGATTGAGTCATGGCAATTGATAAACTACACTATAAAAAGTAGACGCTTTGGATCATGTGCCACTTTAAAATTCAAAAGAAGATGCAACCAACCTGACAGCACCAACCTAGCAACTGAAATATTTAAATGAAATGTGAACTGATATTGCGAGGGCTGCGTTCCCAGGAATTGCGATTTGAGCACTTTTCTGCTAGTACTAGCATGCTTTTTTGGTTTCTTTTTGTTTATTATGACCCTGCAAAGCAACCCCCATTGTACAAACTGAAGCCATAGAAACAATTTGATGTTCAGTTACCAACCATCATAGGACTGGTGTACAATAGAAGTGCATCTTAATGTGGTATACCGGTACAGATCTAAGTGTGCTGTTCTGGTTGTCCGCTTTTCTGTTATTCTTGCCAGATGTAATACACTGGCACAAAACAAAGTACCGAGTACCGACAATGACAGATTGTTCCGTAGCCAGTGATTATCAGCTAAAAGATTTGTTATACTCTTACCTGCTGGACTGTCCTCTAAAGCGGATCACACACCTTACCTATGTAAGATTGTCAAATCTGACAGATATAGTACTTACTAACTGTCAAATGGACAGATATAGTACTCATTAAGCAATCAACTTCAGATGTTGACTCTTAGCTGCAAAGTCTACAGTGGTGGCATCACATCCAAGTGTTGTTATCTCACCAACCAACCAACTCATCTCTCTATGACTCTTTGCAGGATCACCTAGCTCTGATGATGGAAACTCTGGGAAAGATGCCTAAGAAGGTCCCTACAATATCTTGTAACTCCCTTTGTCATGTTGTCTAATCCCAAATGCCGTATCTAATCCTGCCGTTGTCTTTCAGATTGCCACCTCAGGCACCCGTTCCAAGGATTACTTCAACCGGTACGGAGACCTGAAGAGGGTCAAAAGAATGAGGTTCTGGCCCCTCGAGCGCGTGCTAGTCGAGAGGTACAATTTCACCGAGCCGGACGCCAAAGGGCTCGCCGACTTCCTCCGCCCGATTCTTGATTTTGATCCGGAGAACAGGCCGACCGCCGCCGAGTGCCTGAAGCACGCATGGCTCAACAACTGATTCAACCAAACCACCAAGTAATAACATCAGAAGCAGCCTAACAGACAATAGCTTTACAGAGGAGGCCGAGTGTTAGACATCAGCTCCGGCGAGCACTGATTTCGACATGGCTCGATGAACCATCTGCAGCGGTAACCGATGATCCGGGTTCTTTTTTTTAATCTTCGTGGCATCATCGTCGTCATGATCGTGTGTTTTTGGTGTAGGGTGTGTTGTGGCCTTGTGGGTGCAGAAGCTGATGTAGTAGTTGTGGTGTTTATTTATTCTGCATGTGAGGTGGTGTAAGAAGATGTTTGGTGGTAGTGTGATCTGGCCTTCAGCTTTATTTTAGCTTTCCTTTTGCTGGTTGAGTAGGAAGGAGCAAGTGCGATGCGCTGACATGCTGCGGTGCAGTGTGGTTCAATTCTTGCTTGCTGTGCGCTGGAAAGCTGGGTTTTACATGTTGCTGGGTTCAGAAGAAGCAGACACCGTGCTGCCTGCCTGTGCCTTGCCTCTTGTAGCAGATTGCTTCACGCTGCTGCTCAGCAGTGATTCCAGCTGCGGCCCCTACTGTTTACATAAGTACAGTGGTTAGAGAATCTCCAACGAGTCCCATAAATAAGTTCACCTAAAAGTGGTTTTAGCATCAACAACGAGTCCCATAAAAAAGGAAAATGTTAATCTGACATCAGATTTTTAAGCATGGTAAATCGAACGGTTTTCATGGCAAATCGCGTAGCATGACAAATCTCTTCGACAGGCATGGCAAATCCTAGCAAAAAAAATGTTAGATTTGCCATGTTTAAAAATCTGGCATCAGATTTATAGCAGGGTCCTGAAAAAGTTCCTCTGAAAGTGGTTTTATGGGGTGTTCGTATAACTTAGGGGTGGTTTGCTTGTACAACTCGCTTGTGTAGTTTAGCTGTCAAGGTTAAAATTGCACATTACCTTTTTTTTGCGTGTGTAAATTGCACATTACAAATTGGGTAATGTTATTTGGTGGACATTCGCTGGGGTGCATGGCAAAATGAACGTTTTTCCATGACATATATTTATGTGTTGGCATGGCATTTTTTTGGACGGACAAGGCAATTTTCGCAGCAAAATCCTTTATTTGCCGGTATTTGTCATGTGATTTTGAAGAAATTGCCATGTCGTTTCGAAGAATTTGCCATAAAAAATGTTCACAATTGCCATATGGTTCATATATTTTCATAACAAAATCGAACATTTGCTGTCTATTGGGGTCCTACAAATTTGGATGTACACAAAATATTAAAAAAAAATGAACAACAGATTCTCAACAGCATGTCATCTGTCATTCCACTAAGTTTGACATGGTCTACTTGAGTCACACAATTAACCAGCCCAACTATTCCAATAGGTCTTCATGCTTTGATCGGTCGCTGCAATTGGATCAATGTTACACTCTGTCATGTCATAGCCAATGC